CCTTTGTCATCTTGATCCTGAGAGATGTTATGACCAGACTGGACCCAGGAGAAGGACCCATCACCATGACATCTTCACCTCTTCCAGCTCTGGACACCACCTGGGACATGAGACTTTGTCATCCCATTCCCCTCACCCTTCCCATGTGTCCTTCTTCTTTCCTACTTTCTCTTTTCTTATCTCTCCTTTTTCCTTCTGTCTAACAAAAATCTGGCTTAGCCAGCTAAAACTATATTTTGCAACACTGCTGTAAGCCTGTGACCAGAAAGGCAGCTAAACAGCCCAATGCTGGTACAAGTTTGCCAGGTCTTGGAGTGGCTAATCAGATCATGAGCTGTGCCTGTGTTTCTCAAGGAGTGGTTGCAAGTGAGCATCAATACCAGAGACAGAAGCTGCATTTTCTGTTTTTGTTTTTCTTTCTCCCCTTTTGTGTATGTTTGTCTTGTTTTGCCTTCTAGGAAACAGGACTGGACTTTAATAACAATAGCAACAACAAAAGTTCCAGCCCATTTCAACTAATTTATTCTCTTCTCCCCAAAAGGGCAGTTATTATCATCTTTGATATCATCTAAGAGACTGACAGACAAGGTGAGTGTTCCTTCTAAAGGAATCTTAAGGGAAATGGAACAAGGAATATTGTTCAAATGAAAGCCTTATGGAATACTTTACATTTCAAATGCTTTAACTGTTTTTCATCCTTTTAAAAACATTTTTAATGGTGTGTTTGCCATGGTACTAAACAGGCTGTGGTCTCTTTATACCAAACCCTGAACCTTGTTTAAAGCTATTTAATGTGGGACGGTTTCAGGGTCATGTTAACACCTTTAACTCTTGGCCCTTTATTCTATCTTAATTAATACAATACCACCAGTCAACAGAACAAGTTCCAGGAGCTGAAACAGAAAGAACCTGAACAAGCCCTTCAACTCCTGACAGAGGCACTTCGGAAAGGGCAGTCAGACATGATTAATGTGGCTAACGGACACCAGGAACCAGCTGAGACAGGAGTTGTAAGACACTGTGGATGGACAGTGTGTACTGAAGCAGAAACTCAGCACCCCGCTGAAGGATTTGAAGTGGCAGCTGCACCTGCAGCAGAAATGAGCAGACAAGCCCCAGGAGCAACTATGGGAAATCCTGGCCAACAGCAAGACCTGGAGGCCAATCCCTCCCAGGCCTGGCAGCTGCTGTCAGAAGTGTAGATAAAATGAGAGATGAAGAAAGAATAGAAGGGGCTGCTAAAGGAGCTATAACAGAAGCTTGGTCTACACTACAGAGTTAGGTCAACATAAGGCAGCTTACATCAACCTAATTTTGTCAGTGTCTACACTACAATGCTGCTTCCGCCAAAGTAAGTGGCCTCCAGTATCTGTGTAGACCCTGCATTACTTACATCGGCTGTTGGCTGTCAGCCCTGAATGGGGATGACAGCTGGAGCCCTAGCCCCTCTCCTACCCCTCAACCCGCCCCAGTGCTGACAGCAGGAGCTGTCAGTGCCAGGAGGGGCAGATCTGACAGCTGTGAGTTTACCACCCAACTGACAGCTGTGGGAAGGGGCAGCTGTGAGCACCACACCTGCAGCTACAGACAGAGAAGGAAGCTGTCAAGGCTGATTCCCCACTCTGGCACTTCGAGTGCAGAAGGTGGGGGCTGGCAAGGATTCTAAAAATTAATACTGACCACTCCAAGCTTGTATTAAACTCCCAAGGTTGCAGCTTTTCTCTGACCTTGGATGGGTAGATGCTGCCACGACCCAAGTGCAAAAACCCCTTTTAGAACCCAGGAAGGTGCACTTGGGAATTCCTTCCTGTGGGGTACCCTCAAGCCCTTTCACCCCCCCTCTGGGGAAGAGCTGAGAAAGAAAACAAAGGAAATCAGCTGTTGCCACCAGCTAATTAAACAACATGCGCAAACCTCTTAGGGACACACAAATCCAATCCTGTTCTTAAAAAAAAAAAAAAAAAAAAATTTTTTTAAAAAAAAAAAAAAATACATCTGGAATTTAGGCTTTTTGCTAGGTTTAAAAAAAAATTACAGGGATTAAGCACCAAGATAGCTTCTTGAGGTCCAGCTTAAAGGTTACAAGCAAAACAAAGCACCTGGGGTTAGCACAGAGGAGTCCACAAGCCATAAAGAAATAAAAGAGATAAACCTAATCACGTCTTCCTAGACATATCCTGATCTACTTACATATCTGGGGTTTTAAATGAGTAGTTTCTAGGTATGATCTGATGATTTCCATACCTGGCCCAAAGCTTTTTACAGCATAGTTCCAGCCCTGTCTCTGGTCTGTCCCCTCTCTCCGGAGAACCACAACAGACAGACAAAGGGGAAGTTTTTCCCAATTTTAAAAAGTTCTAGCCTTCCCATTGGCTCTTTTGGTTAGGTGCCCACTCCCTTCCTTTTACCTATGGACTTTTTAACCCTTTACAGGTAAAGCAAGTAGAGAACTGCTACTAACAGGGATTCTATAGCTAACTGGCTGGCTGGGTGTCCATAAAAGGGAGCTACCCCCTCTCCTTCATCTATCACAGAAGCTCTTTACAATGACAGCAGGACTGAAGGTGATTCAGCAGAGAAAGGACAAGGTGCTGAAATCTCTGCTGCTCTGCAACCAGAAACTGCAACAAGATCTACAGGCTGCTATGCAGAGTTACTCAGGGGCATGGGACCAGCTGCACAGCCAGCAGAAGGAACACAACATAGCTCTGCAAGCCCTCCAGGACCAGATCCAGATATCAAAGATCTAGGAGCTGGATCTGCTAAGGGACCAGAACATAGTGCTCAGCCTTGAGCAGTAGAAGCAGGGTAAGGAGGAGACAATTGTGGGGCAACAGGATGATCTCAATGTCCAGCTGCAGGAATTCTTCTGAGCCAACAGCTACCTTTTGGAGCAAATGAAGGAAAAGGACTAAAAATGGTGGTCAAGGAGAGGGCAGAGCTGCATGAAGAGGGCACAAACATGGATGCTGAGATGGAAAACTTAGTAACCGTTTACCAAGAGGTTCGCATCCCCACATGGTACTGGGGCAATGTCCTAGAACATGGTCCTGGAAGCATCCTGGAAGTTGGTGCCAGGAGACTGATTCACCACGCAGCGAAGGAGTTAGTATTGATGGCCATACAGAGGCTGTGGCATCTGTAGATGCCTCTGGATGGCAGTAGTCTCTAGAGCTACAGAACAAACCCAATCTCTAAGGGAGTGGAGAGAGTTAGAAAATAAGGTTGCTGTGGTCCACAAGTGCAAGGCAGAAACTGTGGCATAACTCAATGCACTACAGCGGGGGTCAGGAACCTTTCAGAAGTGGTGTGCTAAGTCTTCATTTATTCACTGTAACTTAAGGTTTCGCGTGCCAGTAATACATTTTACATTGACAGGGGCCGGTGGACGGCACCTCAGACCGGCAGCGGGCTGAGTGAGGCCGGCAGCCAGGACCTCAGCCCGCTGCCGGTCTGGGGTTCTGTCTGCTAGCCCCTGCTAGCCGGGGTCCCCGCCATCGGCCCTGCTCAGCCCGCTGCTGGCCCGGGATTCCGTCCATCCAGGCCAGCAGCAGGCTGAGCGGGGCCGGCGGCCAGGACCCCAGCTGGCAGGGGGCTGGCGGACGGAACCCCAGGCCGGCAGCAGAGTGCCACTGAAAATCAACTCGCGTGCTGCCTTTGGCACGTGTGCCGTAGGTTGCCGACTTCTGCACTACAGGAACCTGGAAAGCAGTATCCTTGCAGGAGCTACAGGAAATATGATCCTTAATTAGGATCCTGGCTCAAGCCATAAAATGAATCAGCCCACCTGAGGATAAAAGAGAAAACAAGGAACGACAGCACTTACTGTTACAAAAGGATCTGAGTGAGCTCTGTGAGACAACCCGTGGGCAGTCCCCCGTTATGAAGACCCAGACTAAGAGAACTGAACTACTATAAGGGGAGAAAGCAACCCTCAAGTGTGGATTGAGCTCAGAATGTCAGGCACAAGACATCCAAGAAGAGGCAGTACTTCAAACTCCTGAAAGGGAAAGTTGCATTGTGGTTTACCATGTGTGGGTACTCTGTGTGGCAGAAATTATTTCATTTGTAGGGGAGCTCTTGTGATGGGTTGGAAGGGGAGTCATCTCTGATACTTAAAAAATGTATAAACTGAAAATGTAATGGTGAAAGCACAGTTCTAGTTTTTGGAACAGAAGGTGCATGAAAAGTGGTATTAAACCAATATAAGGCCGGAAGGGCCTGCTTACTTTTGACTCCTAGTGATGTTATTGAAAAGACAAAGTTGTTGTACTTTGTATTGCAAAGCACACATTTGTGTTTCTCTCTGTGTATTTATGAATCTGCGATCTCTGCTTTGAGATAATTAATGCTACATCCATGTATATTACTAAACAGTTGTAACCAGATGCCGCCAGGCTGGAAAGATTTGCAAAACGCTCTAATTTCTTATCAAAGATCATTACTAAAGTATTTAACAATTAAAAAGTCAAGCAGCCGGATGGCTGCCAACCCCTCAGATGACTAATTAATCTGCACTAATCAACAGGAGGTCTCTATGCTAATGTCGATTTAACCTTGGCGATCTTCCTTTTTGCGGACGTCAAACGATAAAGAATAAACGCCCACCACCCACCCAACCTAACCCCACCGACGGAGCAAAAAACAAAAGCAGCAGCAAGGAAAAAAAAAAGGCAAATTAAAAACAGATTACACAGATGCGATTAAAGAAACAGTGGGGCCTTTACTGAATGGTATTAGTCTCATTAATGTCGCGGCTGCTGCCTGCTTTAGCGCTGCCACAGGAACCTGGAGCAGTTTGTGTGAACCAGAGTCGATGCACTTCGTGTTCCTCCCCACCCCCGCTCTGTGTGTATGTGTCACTCTCACACACGCCCCGCCCCTCTTCCCCGCCAGCTCCGCCCACCCCTCCGCCCACGCGCTGATTGGCCCGGCGGCGCCGCTCCCCCTGGCTCTGGCAGGCGGAGTCCGGCGCTGCCTGGCAGTTGTTCGCAGGCACAGGAAGGCTGCGCGCGCGTGAGTGAGTGGCCGCGGCGCTCTGTCTCCAGCGGGACCTGGGGCCGGCGGCGGCGGCAGCAGCAGCATCATGGGCAGCAGCTGACAGGCAGCAGCGCCGCGCAGCCCGCCCTGCAGCCGCACCCGCCGGGAGAGCGGAGCGGAAAAGTTCCTGCCGCCGCTGCCGAGGGGGAACTTTGCACGGGGCGCTGAGCCATGCCCGCCGTGAGCCTGTTGCCGCTGTTCGGCAGCCCCGCGGGGCCCGGCGCGCTGGGCGGCCCGCTGGGCGGCGGCCCGGGCGGCGGCAGGAAGGCGTCGGGCCCCAGCGCGTTCCGGTTGACGGAGAAGTTCGTGCTGCTGCTGGTGTTCAGCGCCTTCATCACCCTCTGCTTTGGGGCCATCTTCTTCCTGCCCGACTCCTCCAAGCTGCTCAGCGGCGTCTTCTTCCACTCCTCCGCCGCCCTACAGCAGCAGCCCCCGCCGCCCGGGGGGGAGCAGCGCGCCCCGCCGCCCGGAGCCGGCCCCGCCGCCGGGAGCAGCAGCAGCAGCGCCGGGGAGGCGGCCGCGGCCGCGGAGAACTTGGCCAAGATCCGCGAGGACCACGAGCGGGCTCTGCGCGAGGCCAAGGAGACGCTGCAGAAGCTGCCCGAGGAGATCCGCCGGGACATCCGGCAGGACAAGGAGAAACTTCTCCAGGACAGGCGCGGCAGGAAGGAGGCGGGGGCCGCTGGGCTACCCAGTCTGCTCTTCCGCAAGCCCGTCGGGGCCGTGGGGCGGGAGCCGGCGGACCCTGATGTCCAGCAGAAACGGGCCAAGATTAAAGAGGTGGGTATCCCCGGCGGCGGGGGGTGTATGTGTCCGCGATCGGCCAGGCTCGCTGGGCTCTCCCGGCTCCCCGGGCTGCCTCCCGGCTCGCTCGCTACCCCCTTGTTTACCCCGCTCGTTGCCTCTTCGCCAGCGCGTTGTCACTGACAAGCTTTCCCCGGGTCGCTTATGTACAACTTGCTGAAGTGAGCTGAGAGGTTTCGCTGGCTCCTGCTGAAAGCCAGGAACTGGCTGATCGGCCTCCTCAGGGAGACACGTTAGTGCCTGGGATCTGCTAGGCGTTTAACAGGGTTTTGTGCAAGGTTTACACTGGTGCAGTTCAAAGTGCAGCGTGGCCGCCCATGTGTCAGCGAACGCATGCACACTGGGGAGGAAGGGGGAACAACACCACCTCGCAGGCAAACTACCGAGACTAGAAGCTCTTCCTGCCAAACACTCCTCTCCTCTGGGGAAGCCCGAGGACCGGGGCGCGTGAATTCCGAGCTGTAAACTTTAAACTTTGAAGCTCAGAGAGCCGTACGGTGGGAGGGTGGCGTGGCAGAAGGCTCCTGTGGCGTTTCGGAGCCGCATCTGTGAAAGCATCGCCGCTACTCAGTGCTGTACTAGGAGGTATAGCGTATACTCCTAACTCAGTACAGGTGCTACTTTACATCTCAGAGCAACTGCCTTTGTATCCCGTTTATGTGAGTGTACATTCATAAGCAAGTGTAGACTTCTGAGCAAAACTTGAGGAAAGTATGAAACGCACATTTATTCTGTGTTCAGCAACAAGTCTTTGAAACCATTTTACTGACTTGGTTTAACAATAAGTTTCCCATACAGTGTGAAGACCTCATTATGACTGTCATTGATCTAGTCCTTTAGGTACATTGGCAATTCCTTACTGTGCAGGTAGATGGTTATGTCAGTTTCTCCTCTCTATCGAAGTCCCACTTTATTTCTCTTGTTAATTTCCTGTCTCTAGGCAGAAATCTCCTCCTGCCCCTTGATCTTTTTCTTACCCTCATCCCTTATTCTTTTTGCCTCCGTACTTAAGGAAGCTATTCAGGTATGGCTTTCTACCTTGTGTGATGTTAGATATATGCAGCTTTCAGCCTGCTGCTATAAACTAACTCTAAGGGTATTTTGTCAGTTTTTACTTCCCGGTTTTCAGATATTCTTAACCCCCTCTGTGCTGGTCCTGCTTACTACTGTATACTTTGCTAAAGCATACGTCTTGACTTAATAGATAGGAACTCGAATGAACCATATTTACTGATCATAGCAAGACATGACTGTAAAAAGCATTTAGAGAAAATTAAGTTCCTCAGGCAGAGGGGAGATAAGAATTAGACTCTGCCTGCTGCCCTCATTGGACCCACAGGGCAAACTAATGCGCCCAGTTCTCTTTCACTTGTCATTTCTGCTTTACTTCTGACGAACACAGATGATAGACTTGTTTACTTCTCTCACTGCACTAGTATTGGGGGAGGGTGTGTCCTATATTAATTCCTGCATCAAATGTAAAAGAACTGTGTTAGTGGTGGGAGATGTAACAGAAGACTGAACTCCTCTATCTCTTCTGCTGCATTTCACATACATTGCAATACTTTGATTTTCAAATATGTGTTGGAACCTTAGCCAAACTGTATTAATGTGAAGTTCTAATCTACAGAGTTAGAAAAAGCTGTTGTTTTATAGCATGTAATAGTGAAATGTATGACCAATAATATACATTTTGCAAACTCCTTAAAATTTTTATTTATTCAGACTGATCTGATTGTTCAGAAAGATTTAAAAGCTTGAACACCTCAGACTAAACCTCTTTGTAGGGGAACTCCCACTTTTTTCCTTTCCTCCAGGGGTAAAGGGGGGGAAGTGAAAATTTTCTTGATGGAAAATAATAAAAAAAAAAATTATTCAATTTTTTACTGAAACTAATTATTCTGGGACATTCCAAACAAAATGAAAAATATTCACTCTTGTAAATGTTGCTGGTTTTGGCCAGCTCTAGTTCAACACTGATGTTGATTTACATATGGGGCAGTATGACAATTTGTTTTCAGTTTACACTTTTAAAAACCCACAATTACACACACAATGACATTAAAATGGCAAAATCAAGCACTTGAAAGTTAGGAACTACAGAATGAAGGTTGCCCTTGCAACCTTAATCTGTGGCCCCCAATGTATATTTCCCTTATGATCTTTAATTATGAGATCCTATAATATTTGTTTCCGAGCTTCATTCAGTGCATAGAATGGGCAGTGCTCACCGAACGGCAAGAGCTAGTCTATATTTCTTCTTCTTCTCTTCATGCAGTGTGTGCTCCCATACTTAATTTCCTACAGACCATATAAACCGTGCACTTAGTACAGTATTAATTTCCTCATGGGCATTTTTATGTGCTGTTCATGATAGCATCTGAGGGCTTCACAAATTGTCAGTTTATTGTCCCAGCACCCTAGTGAGGTGATCTTGTTTCTGTTTCACTGGTGTAGAACTGAGATGTAGATTAAGGCCAAATCTTCAAGTGTCCACTAATTTTGGGTGCCCAATATGAGATGCCTGGACCATGATATTTTTTCAGCATGCTCAGCATTATATGGCACTTCATATATTCAGAGCACAGCTCCCATTGACTTCTGAGCGCTCACAGCTGCAGCTGTACTCCTGCAAATCAGAACCCAGTTATCTCAAATTGGGCACCTGGAAAATGGGGCACAGAGAGTGGCCACCTGAGACTGGACTATAAAAAGAAAGGGGAGAGAACCCCATAGTTGTCCATCACTTGGGGGATTCAAGGAGCTGGAGCTTTTGAAATCACCAAAAGTTGGGTCCTTCAGCCAATGGTGCTGAAGTCTTTGGGAACAGATTAGGTGAGAAACTTGCTTAGAAAAAGATGGGTAAATTGCTGAAAGTAAGTGGTGTGTTTTTTTTTTTTTTTTTTTTTTTTTTTTTTGTGTCTTGGAACTGTGTTTTTTGCTTTCGTTGGCTTGTAACCCTTTTTATTTTAATTGCTTATACTTGGTATCACTTAATCCTCTGCCATTTTGTTTAATAAACTTGTTTTAGTAAAAAAAAAATTCAGTGCTATGATGCAAATAAGAGTGTTCACCCCAATTAAATTAATTAGCAGCGGTTACTGTCTCTTTAGAGGAGCAGCAAACTTCTGTGTGTGTTCCAGGAGAGCACTGGATGCTGCAGTGAGAAGTCAGTTGGGTAACTTGGGGTTCACTACTTGTAACTTGCAACTCAAGGTTAGGACTGGCAGGGACTTGGAGAGTTTGCTGGCAAGATAAACAAGCTGATGTCAGGGAGTTGTCACACAGCTAGTAATAGCAAAACTCTTGCTGAGGCGGTGACACAATAACAGTTCTGGGAACCTCAGATTGTTATATTGGCAGCTGGTTTCGGGGAAATTTGGGAATAGGAGGAGGGGTGTGTGTGTGTGTCACTTTGCAAAAAGTACCTGGGCAGTAGAAGGGAGAATGTGATGAACATGTTTGTAAGGCTGGTTTTGGTGTCAGGGCAGTGGGCTACAGTCACTGCCTGCCTTGCAATTTTAAGTGAATTAACTGTACTGGTGTGGGTTGAATCTGCAAGTGTCACAGCAGATTTCCTAAATTCTGAGGACAGAAGGGACAACTGTGTGATCATCTAGTTTGACCTCCTGTAGAACACAGGCCGTAGAACTTGCGCAATATAATTCCTAGAGCATATCTTTTAGAAAAGACATTCAATCTTGATTGAAAAATTCAGTGATGGAGACTATATACAACCATTGGTAAATTGTTCCAGTGGTTAATTACTCTGACAGTTAAAAAATGCATGCTTTGTTTCTAGTCTTAATTTGCCTAGGTTCAACTTTGAGCATTGGATCGTGTTAGACCTTTCTCTGGTAGATTGAAAAGCCCATCAAATGTTTAATAATGGACTCTTCAGTCTAGCAGATGAAGGTATTTAAATATTTGTTCCCCATGTAGACACTTACAGACTGTAATTAAGTCACCCCTTAATCTTCTGTTTGTTAAGCTAAATACATTGAGCTCCTTGAGTCTCACTATAACACATGTAGATAGAATCAAATTCTCCACAGTGACATTCAACTGCCCAAGCCAGTATACCATGCTTTCTTTTCCTGCAGTGCTCTGCCTCCTTCACTACCAGCATCTGTTTCTACAGCCAATTAAGCAAATTTCCTACAGAGAGCAGCCTTGTTCACTGATCAACCCTGACTCAGTCCCTAACTACCCATTATTTGCATTAAATGAGACAGGGTGTGTGGGGGTGGGGGTATGGTGCACAATCATATGTTTAAAGACTATTATAATGGATATGCACAAGGGGGCTAACATAAGATTGCACAAGTATCAAAGGGGTAGCTGTGTTAGTCTGGATCTGTAAAAAGCAACAGACCACAGGACTCTCTGTTGCTTTTTATAAGATTGCACAGTACTTATGAACATAAGTGTCAAATCAGTGACAAGATGGGTGAGGGGAAATATCTTCTATTGGACCAACTTCTGTTGGTGAGAGAGACAGCTTTTGAACTGACACAGAACTGTTCTTCCAGGCTGGGAAATGTACTTGGAGTGTCACAGCTAAATAGGAAGTAGAACAGATTGTTTAATATAAGTAGTCCACCTTGAATAGACACTTAACACATTTCAAGGGAAATAGTGAAGCCTGCTTATTTTGAAATTCCACTCTGAAGTGAGAAAAATTGAGACCTGAATTGCTACATTGCTTTGTTAGGGTGGAGTTCCATTCAGATGCGCAAATCCTCTTGGAAGGTAGTGTTTTACCTTCAGTGGCAGATGTGAGATGCTGCATTCCTAACTATTATCCCACAACTCCTCTTCAGAAGAAGGAGGAAAGGTGGAAAACGCCACCAGTTATTGAAGCCTTTATGCTCTCCAAGCCTGAGGGAGTGAAGAAAGGGCTGCTGTTGAAAGACAATGAAATGGCTTTGTCTACCAAACTTCTTCACTGCAAATAAAAGTAACCCTATACTTCT